CCAGCTGTGAAAGGAATTGAGCAAGATGAGCCAACATTACGGTGGTAACTTTCAGACCTCATTACAGCAACTGCAAGCCTGCAACCCAGCCCTTGTGTAGAAGGACCCTGAGAAGACATCATTTCACACTTGGAACAATGCCCATTGCTTCCCTTCCTTCAATCAAATCAATCAAGTGCCTTTTGACAGTCTGAAGATTTCTGCATGAGATTTGTAATGTTTAATTTGAATTTAGCCTGCTTTTCTATATATCATTCCTTTTCACCAACCTAGCCATATATGAAGAACAATACCTTATATTTTATTAAATTTTTTCATCCAGAAAGCTGTTTTGTCTTAGTTGGTTCAATCTGATCTTGTTATTAAATTGTGTGTTCAAATTCCCATTTGAATTTGTCCAACTCTCATTGGTTTTTCTTCTGCTTTTATTCTTTAGATAATTGTCCAGCATTTTCTGCTGTCTTGAGATATTTATACACTTCAATCAAGCTATTTTTTTTCATTCTTCTTTTTTGATAAACAAAAAAGATTAAGCTTCTAAAGTCTCTTACTTGAAGCAAATTTCCCTAACTCTCAGGTCATGGCTTTTCAGTACCTTTCCAAATGCTTTAATGTCCTTTTAAAACTCAGATGTGGAATTTGATGCAACATCCCAGAACTGGTCTCATTAATATCGTATAAAATAATAAGTGACCTTCATGCTTCTACTCACTCTTTCAATCTTTCCACACCACTGGATAACACAGCAGCACAGTCAGAACTTCACCACAACAGTGCTGAGTTGTTTCAGGAATTCTTCATTGTTTTCTCATGTTCACAGTTCACACATCTCTTAATATCCTCGCTCTAATTGTTTTAAACTCTCCTGCTTAAATGGGCTGACATCAGCAAAGAGGTTGTTTTCTTCATATCATCATAAGTTATGTCTCTGTCAATTCTTTTTGCATTTCTTAGTTTTAAACCATCAATCGCTTTGCATTTTCTTTTCAGATTGTAGATGGCATTGCTGAACACCTTTCTTACAAGTAGCTTGCTTTCTCAAATTTAGGATGCAGCAGCTGATCTAGAGAAGCTGCATCTAGTCAGGCTGCTTCTTCTCTCTAACATTTATATCCCACTTGAAATATCTTCAGCTTGACCTAACAGTTTCTGATTCAAATATGACTCTTTGTAGGAAAAGCACCTGTGATTTAGGAGAGTTTTCTATGTCAGTGATTGAAATTCCAACTTGACAGACTTCAAGACATTGATGCAAAACTCATCTGTTCTCAGATTTTCGGCAAAAAGAAGGTTAATGGACAGAATAGACCAGAGACAGGAGTAATTATAGTTCTTGTGATTCTCATTTTCTGATCTTGTCTGGTGTTGTGTGACAGCTCATTTGAAACAAAAACTGTAAGTTTTAATGGTGTGAATTTTTTCTGGTCAGAAATAATTTTTCAATATATCTTGACATTTTCAATTTTTTTTCTTGATTCTTTTCCACAACTTCAGTTAGCAAATTTCTTTTCCATTGTTTTTGAAGGCCTAATTTACATTTTAAAGATTTTCAGGAGGCATCCAGGAAACTGAAGTCAAGTACTCTTCTAAGTCTGAAATTGGAAAATAGCATAAATCCTTATAACTGATAGTAATATTTGCGAATAGCTCACAGGAACAGCTCAGAATCACTACCAGGGAGACCATTCTTGTTGGGAACTTTTCCTCATAAAATATGAACAGACCAGGAGACTGTCAGGTTATAATCTCTCTCCAGTAAAATACTTCAGCAATGGGAAGCTTCTACCTCCAAAAAAGTGTACAGCTTTGTTTTTCAGTAATTAAAAGCTACATTATGACTTTATGTTAAACACAAGTCCATTATACATTGCTGATATTAAAATTCTTGCTGATATTAAATTCCTATAATGCTTTCTGTTAGAAAATGCATGTACAAAATCTTTAAAGAACTGTGACAGGTCAGAATGAATTCCCTCTGGAGGCACGCAAAGCCATTCCTGGACTTATGCAATAGTTGTGTATCGAGGACAAAGTTATGTGCATTATTAACACTAAAAGGAGCTCAGCTCTTGGTTCACAAAAGGAGTCTACCCTCCTCTAACCCCTTAGCCAGAGGCCTAGCTTTCAGAGGCACTGTGCAATAAAACTGAAGAGCCCTTACCATGCAGAGTAAATTTTTATATTAATCTGGAAACAGAAAATCCCTTCCTAAAATCCAGTGCTTTACTTAGCTTTTACTACATTATCAAGTCTAGATCTTTTTTAACTGGAAGAATATCCCACATGGCAGCTTTGACTGACGAAAGTTTTATTTTTCCAATAGTATTCTTGTAATACATATTTTCGGTAAAAGTTAAATCAAAAGGGCAGAATTCTGCAGAATTCAAACAGCTTTCTCTCATTACACCCCAAGCTTAGTAAAAGGGAAAATATTCCTTGAAGAAATATTTAGCTACAAATTACAAATTACTTTGGAGATAAAACGTGTTTATACAAATTAATTATGCTGAATGTATTCTTTTCATAAGCAGGCATTGAATTATTCAAGGTACTCTGAGACTTAAAACTGACTTATGAAAGCAAAGATTAATGATGCTATCATATGAAACAATAAATGTCACTTTGAGAAAATCCATAGTCACAACAATTTCTATTTTTCCCAGTTAGAATTTGTTACCCTAATTTCAAATTACTTTATTCCATGGCAAAGCAAGAGCTACAAGTACAACAAAGAAAGGTTTACAAAAATTCCAGTGAAGTAAAAAAAGAGCAAAGAAACAAATTCTTCCTTTCCAGCAAATGACATTCAAGCAAACAATGGGCCTTTATATATTTGAGTTCTGGATAATTTATGTATATTAAGAATGAAAATATAGGATTGTATATCCCATAGTATAGAAATTTCATATACCTAAAGAATAGAAATATAAATTCCTTACAGAGCACTACTAGAAAGAAATCTAAGTGTTTAAGTGTATATTCTAAGTGTATACATACAGTAACTTGCTTCTCCTGCCTTCCAAGTAGATAACACCCAACAAAGGGTAATCTGACTCTTGTATTTTATGTGCTTTATAGACATTAGTGATGTTTTACAGAAACAGTAATCACTACAAGTTGTAATAATGTGAGGAATCAGGTCCATTCAGAATGATTGATGATGAAAATTGTGGCAATAGGATAATTTCAAACTGAACTACAAAAGGAATATATTGAATACTTACTTTCTCAGAAATGCAAATACATTCTGCAGCTATGGGAAGAAATAAAAAACTAAGTTAGCTATTAAAAGAGAGTAAGGAAACATTTCTTACTGAAAGAGACACCAAAATATTGAAAACCATTTAGAAATATCCAACAGTTTAACAATTTATGAACAATTTAAGAATATACCAATCAACTTACACATAGCATAGAATAAACACTTGCTAAACAATTAACTCAAGGATAAAATTTAAACCTTCTGCTTTAATATTGCAACCAAAAGACTTAATTTCCATTTTTAATTAAAATATGAGCAAACAATAGCATTCTAGAGGTTTCTGTGTTCATAATCTGTGTGCCCAAATTTGTAACTCTCAAGCACTAATATGAAATCTTTTTTCATTTAAGATAATAAATCCAAATTTCAAACTTGAAGACAAAAATGTTAGCAGACTTTCTAAATGGAAGTTTCTATAAAACTGTAACTTTTAACATCCTGGGTAAATGAGTCTTGGAAAGAAAGAAATTACACTCTGTCTGTGCTCCACCTGGCCTATGCATGCACACATACTTGCATGAATTTTTTCCATTTTGATATTCTATCCATTGTTTAGAAGCAAAATTTAGCATGTTTTTTTTTTATGAGCCAGAAAAATCCTAGTCTTTACATTATTCCCTGTGTTTACATCTAAACAAAAACATATTTAAGTGGTTCTAAAAGAGTGACTTGATATGGAGACAATGAATTGGGTAAGTAAAAGAGGTTTAAGTCCTTCTCTAATGGATTTTTGACTTGAATTCAGCACAAACATGCAAAGTTCTTGATCTTTTTTGAGACTCCAAAAGCCACAAATAGTTTCAATTGCACTGTGTATCAAATATTACTCAAAATTTATGTATTTTCTGACTGTTATTTTTCCAGTATGTTGGACAGGACTCAAGAGTTGTTCCACAAAACAAATCTTTTCCTTTGGGTCCCATGGCTGATCACAGCACTCCCTTAACATGTTCAGAACACACTTTAGAATGTCAGTGGGAGTTGTGTATGCATATGAAGAGGGAGCAATAAGAGATGACATTTGACATGTGGCCCTGAGAAGAAAAGTTTGCCCTAAAACAGTTTCTTCAGTAAGTTGTTAGGGTTTTGCATTTTTTTGGGGGGGTTTGGTTTTTGGTTTGGGTTTTTTTTTTTTTTTTGGTTGGTTTGGGTTTTTTTTGTTTGTTTGTTTGTTTGTGGGAGGTTTTTTGTTGTTTTTTGGTTTTTACCCACTTGAACACAACGTTAAATACCACCTGCCAAGAGACTGATTTGTCTATCAACATAAAGCAAAAATTGGTGATAGTAGTACTATTCTAATAAATTCCTTGGTACTTTTTTTTCTTCTGATCCAGGCTTCTCTCACAGCACACACAGTTAAAATAGATCAGTCTCAGAATAAGCTCCACAATAGGACATCCTACATATGCTGATGACATTATTTAACTCTGTCATTGATTATTGCTGAGTGAAAGTATTATTAATCTTTAGAAGTTCTGAGGCAGAAGTAACCTATAACTGCAGCATAGCAGAATAAAATGCATGTATGAAATGACAGATATAGAAAGAACTTAATGTTTTACTTTCTTTACTACTACTGTTTTTGTAGTACTATCTAGCTTGAAAGACTCTCTTAGCTTTCCTGTTTTCCCATTCCTACAAAAATTAACTATGATTGACTAAATAAAATCAAAGTTTTGCTAATAAAACTTCTAACAAATTTTTGTTTGTTTGTTTATTTGTTTTTCCTTGCTGCTAGCTTGGTAGCCACAAAGGAAACAGACAGTGCAAGATCTCGTAGCATGCCAATGTCGCCATCCGATTTCCTGGATAAGCTAATGGGGAGGATGTCAGGCTATGATGCAAGGATCAGACCAAATTTCAAAGGTAATTTCACAACTAAACTTTCAGGTTTTCAGTATGTCAGTATTACTGCTCACAAAAATGCAATTTCTGAAACAAATATGAAAACTAAGAGGTACATTCACTAAAAAAAAAAAAAATAGTTCCTTCTTTTGCATTTCTTTTGTATATGTGGCAGCTCATTTCAGTAGTAATACACTCTACACCTGCCACTTTCACAGCTGCCCAATTGCAGGCCTTCAGTAACTATACCTTATCCTTAGATTTGAGTTATCTGATATAATTTGCTAGTTTCTTGCATTTCCTGAAATGCTTACTGATGGATTCAGATTCCCGGCTTGGATTGCCATAGCATGAAACACTACAGAAAGCAAACTCTTTGGAAGATTGGCCAAATCTTCATATCTGTCTGGTTCTCAAGTGTGTTAATGACATTGACCATCAAACTGAAGACAGCTTATCTTAGTTACCAATTCTACCACGAAATTATATTCCTCTTTCTTGGGCCCCATTTGTGCCTTGAAATGCCAAAAGGACCATCTTTCCTCTTGTTCTTTTCTCTGTTCCCAGTTCTCCACTAAAATTTTAAGTTCTCAATACATGGAATTTTGTCTTGGCATGTGCCTTTTATGCACTTATCACAAAGGAGATTCAATTAAAACAAAGCAGTTTCAAAGGCTGAAACAGTTTGCAAATGGAATGACTGCACTCTCCTGACAGTCTTAGCATATTATCTAGACCCAGACACATTAGAATATTTAATGAAGGATTACACAAACGATATTTTTATATGAATGTGGAAAGTATCATACATACAAAGGCCATCCATTCTAGTCTGGGAATTCTGGGTTAATTTGACTACCCTTCTTTCTGAAAAAAAAGGAGATCCAATGTTATAGTGGAACCATATTTAACTATATTACTGAATTTTTAAACAAGGTATCAGTCTTTGAATTACCCAGAATATAAATAAAGTTTTGAAAGAACAAACCTATTGTGATTAAAAATTTTATTATTCTTACTTTGCTTTAGTTGCTTTTTTCTATGCCTATCTTCTTGAGTCCAAGAGATTCTCTTAGCTCTAACATTTCACATAAGCCCCATATAAGGCTTTACTCCATGTTTACTACAAAAATTTTCCTTCAAGCTGGCCGTGCTTTCTCCTCTAAGTCATCTGTCACTGCCTTTCCATCTTAATTCTTATTCAGCAAGAAATGTTATAATTTTTTGACATCTCCAAGTTCCAGAAACTTAAGTGGTTTTGACTCTAAAGCCACTGTCATGTGCTGGTTTTACCAGAATTTGCTCAGTCTGATTCATAAGGACCATGTAAGAGATTTGTCAGATTACTTCCTCATCAGCAAACCATAAACAGTTGCTTGTGTATATATAAACTTGTTACCCAGGATTTACTGCAGCTGGAAATGCTTTGCTCTTTTGTAAGTTAGTGGTGCTGATGTTTCTCAGGAAATTATAAACCTGCACTGGAATTTTAAACACATCTCTATATGATTTGGGGATTGAATTTTATAGTTTGTCATGGACGGCATCCAATCACAATCTTCTGATGGGGCAACAGTGAAGAATAGGCAGATGGTTTAGAGATTACAAAATTAAATGCAGTACTTCTTGAAAGTATAATTCAAAGGATTTAGAGCTTTGTTTTGTAACTATTGAGACTTAAAGAGACAAAACCTAATTTGACATTGTTCCTTTTCAAAAAGTGCACATTCTAAATCTTCTGGACAGCTATGCAGTTTGAACAGATCTGCCCAGAATGATTCAGACCTATCACTAAGAATAAGTATCTCCTTAAGTGACTTTCCCACTTTTTGGTTACTTTTATTACTCCTACAACAAGTGCTGGGGCTTACTGCCTTTTTAAAGGTTTTAAATTGGTGATATCTTAAAAGAAATTGGGTAAGTGCTAAAAAGATAACTCAGACATTAATTTTAAATCATTTTTTGTTCCAGTAAAATTCCTATGCAGACAAGGTTTTTAATTACCCCTTTTATTCATAATTAATCTTGGTCAAGAAGACAAAATTTATATTTTGTCTCTGTGGTCTGCTTTTGGATATGGAATACTGCATATGAGTTCTTGTTCAAAAAATATAATAGAGAAGACATGGTGTTTATTCAGCTGTGGAATACACCAGGAAATTCAGCATCATTGTAAAAGCTTTGTTCCAGTTACATTTTTTTTTTATGTTACATTAAACCTATAGTAAAGTGATTCTCTTACTCAGTGTCCCATTGCAGATGATATCCATTCCTGCAAATATGGAAAACACTTAATTGCCTTTTAAATTTGAACACAATTATGTATCGTAGATGTAAAAAATTTAAATATCAAAGTAAAAATTTGGGCATTTATATAGGAAAATGCAAAATATTACTTGCTCTGATTGGCAAGATTTTTTCAGCAATCATTAGTTTAGAAGCTTTGAAAACCAGGACTTAATTAAAAAAAAAAAAAAATTTGTTACATATGGCGTCCTGATCCCTTCTGGAAACTTTTATATATTTGGCCTTTTCATTATCTTCTGGCAATAAAACCTTAGTTTTTTGGAATATTAAAAAGAATTTTTTTTGTTTGCTTTAAATTTGCTGATTATTTTACTGATTTTATTGCCTTGTGACATACTAAGATATGGAGAAGTATTACCGCCTTTTGATCTTTGCAAAGTTGTGTATTTGCATTTTACTGCCTACTGTGTACCTTTTCCAGTGTTTTCTACTTAAGCTGGTTTTGTCTGGCAGCTTTTCATATAATTTTTGATCCTTTTTGACTTTTTGACATCTTTCTTCCTAATATATATATATATATATATATATTAATTCGTGTGATGTATTTACATATAATAATCATCTGTATCTCTTATTTATAAAATTTCTCATTATTTCTACTAGTTTGGCTGGTACAGAGGTAAGATTTGCAGGGATAAAGTTCATGTCCCCCACCATTGTATCTGAAATCTGGGTGGGGGGGTTTGGTTCAAGCTATACTTGCAGAACATGGTAGACATTTCCACTGATTACAAAATTGACACAGGTGACAGCTGACTCACAGTGAATTGTATTTCCACAATTCTGCAAAGATTTTTATAATGTCTGGATTTATATCACCTCAGCCAGTCAGTTTGTTCCTGTTCACTTGGTCTGAAATGTCTTCTACAGTGTTCATACAAAATTCCAGCAGAATGGCTCTAGTATTTGACACAGCCAGCAATTGGAGACAAATGCTGCTACAAAGACTTCATTTGGCTTTTCTGCTCTGACCTTCTTCACTTCCATGGATACTTTTATACCTTAATCATCTTCTTTCAGCTTTCAGATCTTAGCAGGATTCTATTTTTAACGCCTTGTGGATAGCGATCATTGTTAGCTTTTCTGTCTCTAGTGAGTTTTAGCTCTATTTCTTTTCTGTCTCTCTTTAATCTATGTTCAACTTGCCTGAATTCCTGTGCTGGAACATGACTTCCAGCTTTTACAACTTCTCATTCGTGATTCTTTGTGACCATATTCTGGGAAGTTAATTTTTACTCTCAGCACAGTGTCTTTGAGTTAGCTCTAAAGCATTTGGAGGCTACTTTTAGCTTCTACTTTTGTGCCCCTTTTAAGTAGCTATTAACTGTTTTATTGTAATTTGAAATTAGGCATCAGCACTGTAGTGATTTAGAGCTTTTTCTTAATAAAAGCAACTATGTTGATAAAAGAAGCATATTTTAAATTATAGTGCTATTTTAAACAAGATAGCATCACATGAAATTTGAAAGGATGGCAGGTACTACAACATGGAAGTGTTTGAAAGAAAAGCTGCCTTGCAAACAAATGACTAATATGGGCAAGAAATACAATTTTCTCCCTGACAGTTTTTAGTGATTGCCTTCATTTATGGTCCCTACTTTTCCTTTTCCCCTTCATTTTTTGCAAGAGTTGAGCATGTAAAACTTTTACTGAATTCTTAGAAGTACTGGATATACTCCACAACCCTAGATAATTAACTGTGTATCAAAGTGACTGCAAGTGCTACCTCCTTACCTGAGAATTCTGCTCCATAGGTGTAGTCTTGTGTATTGCAAAGACTGAAGTATGTGTTTAAGTGTTTTGTTAGAATTGTTGTACAGGACTTCAAAACAATTTTGCTCTCAGAAAAGAAAGCCGGATGTTCCAAGTTCTGTCCTATTGGGAGAATTTTTAATAGACATTCTGATTCTTCAAGTATTTAATGTGAATTTTATTGGTCATGTTAGATTTTGCTAGTTGCAATCCACCAGTAGTGGCAGAGGAATTTTTTTCTTCAGTGATATTAAGAAAGAGATATTACATAAAAGTTTATAAGACCAGTCTTCATATTCCAGATACAGATCTCTCATTGTTAGACTGCTTACAACTACAAAAAGAATCCAGGTTCTCCCATGCTGAAGTGCTTTATTGATATAAGAATACTGCATTGTAGGAAGGTAACAAAAAAAACCCTGGAGATGGAAGAACCTTGCTTGGTTTGGACACGGACTGAAATTTATAAGGAATAATGGAAAAATTAGCATTTTCCACAATGACATTTTTAAAGTGACTTCTGGAAAATAATTAAAACCCTTTTCCATGAAGAGGCAATTCCTTGTTCAGTTATCATAATGACTGCTCTGCCACTATTGATTCTTCAAAATGCAAGATAAGACAAAACAACAGTTGACTGAGGGCCCATGGTAACAAAGAATTCAGTTATAAATGGACTCAAACATTTTGTGAATTTAAGAGAAATGGGAATAGAATCTAAATGACTTTCCTGTAAGCTGTAGAGATAAGAGCAGCAATAATGCATTTCTTTTCCCAGTGATGACAGATAACATTGAAGGTAGAAGTTGCCTTGAGTGAAGAAAGTCACTTTCCCCTCTAATTGTTGTGAGAAGTGACATGCATTCTCACTGAAATACACATAAAATATTTTGAATATATATTTCAAATGGGATGTTGGTTTTTTATCATTTTTTGTATAGAAGCACGTGTGCAGGTTTATACTGAACTTTGTTTCTGCGGGTTTTTTTAAATTGCTAAACGTGGTCAGATAGGTAGTGTGCCTTTGACAAAAATCAAAAGAAAATTATTAGAAACCGTTCAATTTAATTGTGTGTTAAATTAGTTATGAATGTAGCATTATTTCTTCCAAAGTCAGTAAATATTGTTTACAATGGTTTATATTGAACAAACAATCAATAAGCAATAATTCTGGAACAGGGACTGGTGGGGTTTTTTTTCTCTTTTGCAGGTCCTCCAGTTAATGTCACATGCAACATATTTATAAACAGCTTTGGATCCATTGCAGAGACAACCATGGTAAGATATTTTAACTCTGTCAATGTTTGAAGTTCAAATGAAATATGTTCCATGAGCTCTACAGCTAGCTAGGGCTTCTGTTCAGCTGGAAATCAGGGAAGGAAATCCACTTCAGAGAATGGAAAGTGAGAATTCCTAATTTGGCAATTGATTTTTTTTCCTAACAAAAATTTCATCATTATACCATCACACACAAGTAAAAGTAAAGCCAAGGCTAGAAGGTTTGTTTTAATGATTTCTACCTAGGTTTTATTTGACAATTTCAATGAAATAATTATTAGATAGATATTAGCTTCAATAATGTTTCACCTTCCTAACCTCAAAAAGAGCTAATTCATTAAGCAACTTTGTTAATAGTATTTTTTAATTTCATCATGTACAGTGTATACTGAAATGAACACTTTATTTTAAAAATTCTTCTTACATAGGGTTATTGCAGTGAAATAAGAGAAATTACTAAAACTTTGAACTGGTATATAAAATTTGGAATAAAAAGAGGATGGTTGCATATTTTTGTACATATACTTAAAATTTGTCTACTAAAGAAACATGATACAGTACAAAAAGATGAGATTTTAACAAAATGAGGAGAAGAGATCAGAGGTAAAGGTAACAAAACGAGATATTGAACTGTGAATTGATGAGAACCCTCAGGATAATCTCACTAAAAGGTGAGACATATGCTCGTAAATTAGAGTATATAATCGCTAAAATTCAGTGTGGGGAGATATTGGCATTCCTTCTCTCTACAAGCGCTTCAAATTTGTTTGAAGAAAGTTAAAAACACCTCTTTGAAAACAGTTTCATAGTAATTTTGGGGCAGAGTGGGTTAAAATACAGAGAGATGACAGAACTGTGGGAGTTTGTAAGATCTAAATATACAAAATACTCTGAAATCCCAACAATTTCAGGAGTCAGGATATGTATTTAGAATGACAGAACTGAATTCTTATAGCAAGAAAAGAAAAAAAAAATCCAACCCAAACAAACAAAAACCTACCAAAAAACCCTAGTGTAACCAAGAATCAAGGGCCTGTAGTTAGGAAAATAAAAAGAAAAATTCATATAGTCTAATATTTATGCCCCCTATCTTCAAGTGGTATTAACAACTGCCTGTTCTTTACCTACCTTGGAACATAGTAGAGGATGTTATTGAGATAGGTAGAAGATTTTTTTTTTTCAGATAGAAAATAGCTTTAATTTGTGTTTGGGGGCCTTTCCAAATTGCAAATCCCAAACAGATTGACAGGGCATCTAGAGAGATTTATTCAGGTTCAATCAGAGGATTAAGCAATATCCACATGATTAGAATAGCGTTCCACAGCTACTTCCTAATGTCTGGACGAGTGGATCTGGTCCAAAAGAGGAGACAGACCACAAGGTCAGTAAAGTTCAAAGACCTAGCCACTCAATTGCTATATAAAGGATATATACAAAGCTAGAGTTGTTAGCACACAAAAATTGTCCTGAGTTTGGGAAGAGGACGACCAAGTTCACCTCTCAATTGGATTTTCTCTCCAAAACCAGAGAATTTTAAACATTTCCTTTCAGTGCAACTTAGTTAACTTAGTACAATATTTCTATTTCATAAGCAAACTACATTCTGTTCTGTGTTACCTCCAAAGCACATTGAAACAGTCAAGGTAGACAATGACCTGGTCTGTAACAAACAGTTCCAGGTAATGTAATGTGTTACAGAAAATACCAAACCTGGTCAGAACCACAAGGTTTTTCATTCTCTTATTTTCATGCATTTAGAAACTGGACATCTAAGTACAACCTTGACCTTCGTGATGCTTGTGTTCTGTTAATAATGTAGTCATTGACATAGCTCAAAACAGACTTCTACTTATTGTCAGCAGCTGATGACCTCTCAGAGACTCAAACATTTCTTTGCAGAACAAATGCTTTTGTCTAGATAGGACTTTCAGTTGTGTGGTTTATTGGCTTTTCTTCTCCCTAATACTGATGGTTAACTTCTAAAAACAGGAAAATCTTTCTGCCTTTAAACGAAAATGAAAGCAATCTTGCATTTCACAAACTGAATTTTTAACTACAGTTGATTCACTGCAGTTCAGTATGTCTTCAATTTTCACTATTTTATCAATTGAATTTATTGTATCCCTTAAAATTCAGGTACCTATGTCTTAACTCATTAGAACAAATTCTTAGACTCAAAAAGGACTTTTAAATTGTTGAGAAATACCTCTTTTTCCAAACTGCAAACAGAACCAGTTAAGTAAGAAACAAGTGCAAAATAAAAACTGGCCACTGATATCTTGTATTTAAAACTACCAGCTGAAAATGGGGTACATAAAGTTGTATACCAGCTTTAAAGGAGTTCAAACACATCCAGCCCTGTCCTTCCCTGTGGCTGCAATTGCCCCTGGAAGCGTGCTTCTCTGTTTGGGCCTCCCAGGGTCTCTTGCTGATGTCCAAAATCTTTGAGCTCCCTCTGCTGCCCCGGCTGTGCATAACAGAGGAAACAGGAAGAGAAACAAGGGGTTAAAAAAGCCCACGTCACCAGCAAAGTAGCCCGGAGCCAATTTCACACTGCTAGGCTGAACAGCTCTCAGTAAGGACCAGGATGCGGCAGTGGGCAATGGGAAGGGCAGTGTGTGGCTCTCGGGCAAGCACATTCCCTTTATCTCGCCTACACCTGCTCTAACAGCTCAGGAGAGGCAGACAAACTGAAAAAGTAGCTTTATTTGGCTTACAGATTGTCAACTCTGTAAACTGATTCTTCTTTCTTTCTTTCTTTCTTTCTTTCTTTCTTTCTTTCTTTCTTTCTTTCTTTCTTTCTTTCTTTCTTTCTTTCTTTCTTTCTTTCTTTCTTTC